CCAATAGGGCTTCAGTAGTTTCATATCTTTCAACTTGTGGAAAACGTGACATTGGGAGAGTCACAAGAGGAGGAGAATGTGGAAGAGTTAAAGGAGGACAATGTCCAATATCACCATTACCTAAAGAAGGGAAGACATTTTCACCTTGATCAGAATGTGGAAGACCATCTACAAAAGATTGAGGAAAACTATTTTCATAAGAACGAGGAAGACCATTTTTTATCTGGATTAGACATCTAAAAGTAGGAAAAGAGAGAATTCAAGTTAGTTGATTTTAATCCTTAATTATTAACCCAAAATTTAAATTAAGGCTAGGATCCGTATTTTCATTTCGTAATATGAAGAGGGGTGCCGTAGTTATATCACGAAACTATTTTAGATAAGTAGAAACATTTCACCAATTTCAATCACACGAAACTCCTAGATCTTTTGAGATTTTCATTGAAACATTAATATCATGTTTAATCTCAGATTATGCTCTTACCAAGTGTGACTGAGATGTCGAGGATCACAATTAAGATTTGAATAACCATGCAAAACCCGCTTAAACACCCTCTATCGATTATAATCTCTCATTGATGTGCCGGTTAACCACACATGCTCCATCAACGCTCATAAACACGAGTTGTTTCGTCATTTCAACCTTAGTCCCATATTAGTGTGTCAGTTAACCACAAACTCTCCACTAATGAATCATAAAGAAATGATATGCGTTTTCATGGATTAGCATACATTTTCATATTTTCCTAAAGTAACTAGAGTGAGATTTTAAAGAAGGATCTAGTACTTTATATCATTATACTTTTAATGAGATTATGTCTTATCAAACCCGTTCGGCTAACGACATTCCATCATACAAAGGAGCGGTGGGTGAAAAAGACACTCATTCAACGGTAATTTTATAGGTCGTTTCCTTATACCTCTCTTATAGTATGACTTCGTGAATGAGGCCTACTATTAATTCGACTGACTTTTCTTATACATATAGTATTAAACGTTTTAATATATATATATATATATATATATATATATATATATATATAAGGTGTATTTTAAAACTTTTTTTTAAAACACAAGGTTTAAATATTAGATATCTAAATTAGTCATATAATTAATTAATCAATCTAAAGCTAATATGATTTAATGTTTAATTTTAATTAAATAATTTAGAAAGTAAATAATTATCTTTAATTATACCTTTAATTAATTAATTCAAATTTAATCTCAATCCTTCTAGTTTTTCGAAATTAAGGTTAGCGTTACCAAATTTTAATTATTCAAATTTTAAAGAATTTAAAATAACAAATAAGGAAACTAGAAACCTTTAGAAAACCCTAGGGAATTTCGAAAATAGGTAAGGAGGTTAGGGTTTTAAGAAACCCTAGAATTTATCTAAATTTGCAAGACGCAAGGGTTTATTTTCGATAAACCCGAGCTAGATCAATTAACCTCATGCACAATCAAATGTAAGACCAAGGCTCTGATACCACTTATAGGTTTTATAGGGTATAAATTTACATGTGAATGCGAAAAAATCACTTAACACTTAAGGGCACATGCAACCTGTAGGTATCTATGTCTTCACATTTGAAAGCAATATACTATGAATATCAAGAACCCTACGAGAATCCTACTATAATAGAAATTAGTAGATCTAGGGTCACATACCCTTGAATTGCTGTAGTAAACAGTTCCTTGAATCATTTCCTTTATGGATCTTGGAAAGCTAGCACCAAAAGTATGATGCCTTTAGTGGCTCACACTAAAAACCCTAGAAACCATAGAGTGAAGAGGATAGAGAGGGAGGAGAATGAATTTTCGTTCATAAGCCTCTTAGAAAGGTTGTGCATGAAATTTGGCTCACAAGGGGTCCTAGTTATAGTTTAGGTAACTTGCAAGCAAAGTCATATTTGAATTGATTAAATAATAGATTTTAATACAAGTTCAAATCTTTTCCTTATATGCAACCAGGAGGCTTCCAGAAACCCTAGGAATCCCTCCAAAACTCTCCATCCCGTGGAGGGTTCTAAAATTGCTTCTTTTGTTCAACTATTTGAACAATTACCATTCACCCCTTGCACCTTTAATTAATTCCAATTAATCCTGAATTAATTCTTAATTAATTCTGATTAATAATTAATTAATTATTATTGATTTCTTATTAATTTATTAACAATATAAATTAACAAATCATTTATTTAACTATTGATGTCATATTAATTTATTAATCACATAACAAATTAACAAATCAACTATCTATTTCCATGTAATATATTAATCATATAATATATTAACAAACCATTTCCCACAATTTTCAGTTAGATTATTAATCATATAATAATTTAATAAATTATCCTTCTCTCTTCTAATATCAATTCTAGCTATTTATGGTTATGAGGGCACCCCAAAAAGGATTTTGATTCTAATTACAAGAATACACCAATTTAGTTATGAATTTAGACACTTTAATCCAACAACATGAATGTTTATACAAGTTTGCTAAATCTGTGATTATCCTCTATCGTGGCCAGTATATACGTAAACCTACAATTATGGACATCCACCAATTGTATACGACACATGAAAACAAGCGTGGGTTCCTTGTAAAGATTGGTAGTATTGATTGTATGTATCTAGGCGGTCAATGTGCCCTAATACGTGAAATGGTCAATTTATGCGAGGTGGTTAGAAGCATTCGATAATAGTTTTAGAAGTAGTGGCGTCCTATGATCTTTGAATATGACATGCATTTTTTTGTGCAGCAGGTTCCAACAATGACATCATTGTTCTAGACCAATCGATGATATTCAATGACATCTACCTTGGAAAATTGTATGATGTGTTGTTTCAAGGAAATGAGACATCATACAAGTGTGGGTATTACCTTACTAAATGGGTGTTGGTGATTTGTATCACTAATATTATTTAAGTGTAATGAGATTAATTTGTTGATCAATGTTGCCTTGATAAATATTAAACAAGTTAGGATGGTGCCGAGTGCACATTTGTTTAAGTTTGTCTTGCTTGAAAGTATACTGCTAATTTTTTTTTTTTGGGGGGGGGGGGGGGGTCTACCCACAGGGGTCCGGGGTCAACGCCCCTATAAGTGGGGTCCGACGTCAGCTCCCTTAGAAGTGGGGTCCAAGGGGTGGCAACCCCTAGCGGGGTCAAAGGAGCAGAGCCCCTGACTAAGGTGGTCGAGCTGTGACATTTTCAGACATGAACTTATTTTCATGTAACTATCATTTAGCAGTTTTTAGAAACGAAGTTATTTGCTATTAATTGGTCAATTTCATATCAGATTGGTACACAACACACATGACATAACTTCATTTCATTCTCTAATCTTGAATACTTAGTTTTATCCGATTAAAGATTTTCGAGTGTTTCATCAAAATGCTTTAATTTGAAAGTGTGTTTCACGGCTCTAAGTAATCCAAACAATCTTAACCGCGATTTTCTAACAATGGGATATGTTCCGACTTAGCTACATTTGTGAAATCATTTTCATATACAAACGATGAAAAGCATATAAAGTTTAAGTCGGCCCAAGAATCTGCTAGGAAGGATATTGAGTGAGCCTTTGGCGTTCTAAAGAGACGTTGACAAATATTCTTAGTATATTTTTCGAGCTAAAAAAATAAGTAGTGTGATGTATGCATGCATCATATTGCATAATATGATTATAGAAGACGAAGGAAATGTAATTTGTCACTAAAATGAAAATGAGAATTTACCAAACATCGAAGGAGTGGTATTGGCACGCCGGAGTACATGACGAACATAGAGAAAATATAGGAGTGAGTTAAACACCACAACCTTTGCACTAATTTGGTTAAACATGTCTTCAATGCTCAAGCGAATCCTGTTGTTAACGATTTTGGCGAGTTGTTCGACGATACAGTTGACGAACCGGACATGTTTGTAGATGATTCAAACGATGAATATGATGTTGTGAATGAAAATGATTAGGCGTGTCGTAATATTCTATTATATTTATGTTATGTTTTTTCTTATTTATGTCTTTAATTTAGTATGTATTTTTATTTATTAATGAAGTAGTTTTTTTTATTAATTTTATATAATTATTTTTTATTAAATTACATTTTATTTAATTTAGAAAAAAAAAGTGAGGCGAAAAGTGTGATAGGTTATTACCACACCAGCAGCTGTTATGGGTAGGGGTGTTCACGGGGCGGTTCGACTCGGATAGTTATAAAATTGTGAACCGTGAACACGGGACGGGTACCTCACATGCACTAACCGAAACCGAATCGAATTGCTTAAAGAACCGAACCGAACCGTATAAACACGGGTAACCACGGTTCGGTTCACGGATAACCGCTAAATGTAAACATTCAGTAAAACTATAAACTAAATATAAACCAATTAAATATTCAAAAATAATTGTTCAACCAACGAGTAAATTAAATATGACTTGCGATTTGCCGATGTTGAACTCTGTGTGGATCGATCATTTGTAGTTTAGAACAGATTCTTCACAAACTCTCTAAAATACTTTGGGTTACAATTACCTGATATAAAGAAAATAAAAACATATATGGGGCTAGTTTTCTTTTATTATAATCTAAAAAAATGCGTTGCAGGAACTGAAAAAAATAAACTAGAGTTCTTTGTTTTTCTATTCACTTTATATATATATATATATATATATATATATATATATATATATATATATATATATATATATATATCGGTTCGGTTCGGGTATCCGCGGATATCTAAATGTCAAAACCGAAACCGACCCGTAGATACCCGGTTTTTTCGGTTTCGGTTTCGATTTATTTCGGTTTCGGTTTTTCCGGTTTCGGATTGGTCAGATCGGCTCGGTTTTTCGGTTTTGCGGTCTTTTTGCACACCCCTGGTTATGGGTACCATATGTACATGGTACCGAATGCAGCGTAAATAATAATAAGCAACCCCACAAGGCTTGTTTATAGAGAACAAATGTGCGGATGCTTTCGAGTTACAGCAAGTGTATGTTACTCCTGAAGCCGATCCGCTTAAGAACTCTTCAGATTTCCCAATATGCTTCCGCGGCTTCACAAGAGTTGTCTCCACCTAAACCCGTCTCCACGATACCACTAAAGGGGCTTAATTTCTACATCTCTACCCTCCAAACCTGTGTCTCTGTTGATCAACTTCATCAACTTCACGCTAAGATTCTCAAGACTCACTTCTCCCAGAACGTATTCCTGTCGACACGTCTAGCTCACGCTTACCTCAAATTTGGTTGCCTGAACATTGGAGAAAGATTTGTTGTCAGCATCATCAAGAACCCACCTTTGTTTCTCTGGAATGAGACGATCAAATGTTATGCAAGGAAAGGTTGTTACAGAGAGTCAATCGGTCTATATTACGAGATGGTTCGAAGTGGATACAAACCGAACGCCTTCACGTTTACATTTGTGCTGCCGGCTTGCGCTGGGTTGAAGTCGATTAAAGATTGCCAGAGGATTCATAGTAATGTTTTGTTGTTCGGTTGCGAGTATAACGAGTTTGTTATCACCGCTCTTATTGATGTCTACGGGAAGTGCGGAGAATTAAGTTCCGCACGCCAACTGTTCGATAATATGACAGTCAAGAAAACCGCAAGCTGTAACGCCTTGATGGCTGGGTTTGTATTGGATGAGAAGTTCGATGATGCTTTATCACTCTTTAATGAAATGAAGAAGTTGGGGATTCCACCAGATACCATGACCATGGTTGAGGTACTTCAGTCATGTGCGTCTTTGGGTGCTTTACAACAGGGAAGATGGGTGCATGAACAAGTAATAAGGACCCAAATGGGTGTCAACGTACACTTAGGTTCAGCTCTGATTAACATGTACGCTAGATGTGGTAGCATAGAAGAAGCCCACCATGTGTTTGAAGAAATGCCACAAAAAGATCTCATCGCTTGGACAGCAATCATATGTGGGTATGGAATGCATGGACTTGCCCATCTTTCAGAATCTCTTTTCCTTCGTATGGTGAGTCATGGTCTAAGACCTGATGCCATAACATTTGTTGGAGTTTTGTCAGGTTTTAGTCACAATGGCATGGTAGAAAAAGGGTGGTATTATTTCACGAAAATGTCTTATGAATTTAACATAAAGCCAGTTTTAGAGCATTATAGTTGCATGGTTGACATGCTTGGTAGAGCTGGCAGATTAAATGAAGCTGAAAACCTTCTGAAACATATAACTGTAAAACCCGATTCCAAGATTTGGGGTGGGTTGTTAAATGCTTGCAAGATTCATAAAAATGTTGAAATGGCTGAAAGAGTTGTATCCAAGATTCTTGAATTGGATCCGACTAATGCTGGATGGCATGTGCTCATGTCCAACATCTATGCAACTTGTGAGAAATGGGATCAAGTTGCCAAAATGAGGGGAAAAATAAAAGATTTGAAGTTGGAAAAAACACCGGGGTGGAGTTCTATTGAAATTTCAGGGCATATTCACACGTTTCTTGTGTTTGATCAATCACATGTGATGTCAAGAGAGATTTACAAATATCTCAAGTATGTAAAAGAACGGATGAAAGTTGAAGGTTATGTTCCTGAAACAAGTGTTGTGTTTGAAAAAGTTGATGAGGAAACGAAAGAGGAGATGGTATTTTGTCACAGTGAAAGATTGGCGATTGCATTTGGGATTCTAAGCACTTTGGATGGTGATGTGTTGAGAGTGATGAAGAATTTGCGGGTGTGTGTGGATTGTCATAATGTTATCAAGTTTATATCTCGAATTGAATGTAGAGAAATCATTGTTAGAGATGCGAAAAGATTTCATAGCTTTAAGAATGGTGCATGTAGTTGTGGAGATTATTTGGTGATGGACATTATCAATATATATTTATTTTTAAAATATTGTAACATTGCAATTTTGTAATAACTAAAAAAATAGAATGAAATGAAAGTTTGATGATGTTACAAGAAAAAAGGTCTTCTAATGGTGTATAGTTTGTATATTTTCCCTTTAACGTCAATTCGCTTAGAAAAATCAACATCAGACTCATATTTTATCTTTTATTTTTTTTCAGTGTAATGCCAGTGCCACATCATTTCCCCCTACTTTTTTTCATTTTTCAAATCTTAGAAAATGGTCACCTTTCATTTTTTTTTTCAAAATAAAATTAATTTAATTTTAAAAGCTATAATTTTAAAAAATAAATATAATTAATTAAAAATGATTAATAAACACACAATTAATAAAAATAAAAATATTTCATTAGTTAAAAATAAAACCTACATAATAAAACCAAGAAAACATAATCAAAAATTACGTAACAAAAATAATAAACCATTTTTAAAAAACTACATCATTCTGAATCACCGTCCGAATTCTCGACGAACATAACGAATATTCATCTGATTCGTCAAACAAATCATTGTGCCACTCCTTGACCTCGGGCTATATGTTAGCCTTGTAAATATGTTCCACCAAATCAGCGCGAATGGAATGATAAATGTCGTGATCATGTACTTCTCTTCTGTTTGCCCTATACTCTTTTGCGTACCAACAACTACTCTGTAACATCCATAAAAAAATCATGCCAAATTTTAACTTTTTAAAACATTTCAAAACCCATATTTATTACAAACTTGTTTTCAAAATAGTATAATGTCAGACTATCGCAGAATCAAATCATAAAATATGAGGAGCTGTATAATCACGCATTCGCCTTCCCACAATCATCAAGAGTACCTGAAACAATAATCGATAAATGTAAGCTCGAAGGCTTAGTGAGTTACCACCAAAATACCAACGCCATAAAACACATCAATAACATATAAGCAAGCAACATGCATAATGAGCCATCAATCTGACTGGACCGTCTCCTGGTCCTCAGTCTATCTGGACCGCTCTCCGAGCCCTTGGCACGTCTGGACCGCCCTCCTCGGGGCCTTCAGCCTATCCGGACCGCTCGATGGGATTTCGGCCTCTAACTAATTTGCCCAGCCCAGGCCTGCAGTCTATCTGGTCCGTCATGGGTGTCTTGGCCTACAGCACACAACAGGACCTGCCTCAACCCAATCTCAATCCCAACAAACATGTGCACATAAATATCATACGCTAGCATGCAATAACAGATAGTCATACAGATCTATCCGATCTCTAACATAGCAACCATCCTATAACCAGTATACCAATCTAACAGATTACTAACATAGCAACCATCCTAAAACCAGGATAAAATCTAACAGATCAACAACATAGCAACCATCTTAAAAACCAGGATGCCGATCATAAAGGATCGGCCTTGGTGCCGTAGACCCTATTGATATAGTGAAGAGAACTCACCTCACAAGTAGCTCGATGATAATGTAGTCAACTTCTTCAAACACCGCTCCAAACACCAACACCTATAACCACCAATGATCCATTCCCGTAAATTCCCCAAAATTACTAAAATACCCCCAGAGGTCAAACTGGTCAACCCTTGGTCCAGGTCAAAGTCAACGGTCAAGGTCAACAGTCCAGATTGACCCAACTCGTCGAGTGCAGCTAGCAACTCGTCGAGTTCCTTAAGGGTTCAGAAGGTCATAAAACCCTCACTGACTCACCGAGTTTACTACCAACTCGTCGAGTCTATGCGTGTTCAGAAGTCGAAGAAACCCTAACTGGCTCGTCGAGTCACCCTACTGACTCGCCGAGTTCATGCAGAAACCTTCGAGGCTAATCTTCATCGGACTCGCCGAGTTGGCCATGCAACTCGTCAAGTCTCTTCACTCCTTTCTCCATTCAGATGCTTATAAGCCACCCCAAAGCTCCATATTGCAGATCTGAGTTCCTAGAGCATGCTTCCCACGTAAAGTTGCAAACTTTACATACATGCAATGTGCTAATGGCCAAAATCAAGCTAGAGAAGAGGTTCTAAGTGAGAATAAGGCATTATCTTGCTAAAGGCTGAAACTTTATGACCATAAGAACCAAGATGAGCCTAGATCTAAAGTTGCATCTTCAGATCATGTTCAATACTCGAAATGAAACACTAATCAAGCTAAAATGGCCTTAATTTCAAACATGGAGAGATCTATATAGAAGGAAAGTCAAGGTAACGACTTGTTACCTTCAAGTGATGCTAAAATGGAGTAGGATTCAGATCCTCAACAGTTCCTTGCTCAAAGCTTCTTGATCTTCAAGCTCCTTTCACCAAGATCCACCTTCCATGCTTAAAAACACATAATATGGAGAGAAAATGTGATTTAGGGTTTTTAGACTCAATGGAGGCTGTAAGGGAGGCTAGGGGAGGCTAATGACCCTTTAAATAGGGTGCAAAACCCCGAAAATTAGGGTTTCATCCTCCAGCTCCAACTCGTCGAGTTGGTCACTTAAGACCCGCGATTTGATAACTAACCTTAGCAGAAAACGCGACGTTACAACTTATGTGTGTTGCACCTGATCCCACATCGGTTGGGAAGGAGAACTAAGCATTCCTTATAAGGGGTTTGGATACCTTCTCTGTCACAACGCGTTTTAAAGACGCGAGGGAAGAAGATCCCATAAGAACTCTGCAGTTAAGCGTGCCCAGGCAAGAGCAATTCAGAGATGGGTGACCCCCTCAGAAGCTTTCGTGTCGAGAGCCCAAAGCGGATAATAATGTGATACGTGTCATAGGGGATGTTACAAATGGTATCAAATCTAGGACACAAATCGATGTGTTCTACAGGGACATCGAACCCTATAATGGGGGGTGAAGGTGGGTTACACCTGATCTCACATCGGTTGGGAAGGAGAACCAAACATTCCTTATAAGGGATGTGGATCTATCACAATGCATTTTAAAGTCGTGAGGGTAGCAGATCCAATATGAACTCTGCAGTTATGCGTGCCCGAGCGAGAGAAATTCAAGGATGGGTGACCCCATGGGAAGTTTTTGTGCCAGGAGCCAAAGCGGACAATATTGTGATACGTGCGAAAGGGGGATGTTACATTGGACAAAATAGACCACATGCAGGACATCGCCATGTCTTGGGCCTTCCTTGGCCACCTCGTGGGAATACCAGGACAACATAATCGTGAATCAACATTCCACCATGTCGTGGGCCCTCCTTGGCCAGGTCGTGGTTGCTGGCAGAACTCTTGTTTCTTCATCTAAAGCTTAATCCTTATAGATGTAAGCCTAAAACTTCAGATCTAGTCCTTCTGAATGACTTAATTGTTAAATTTTCCAACTTTATCCATTACGACCTCACCCCAAAACAAGATCTACAACCCTAAGTCCAATATGGTATAAATCATTCACAAAACATGCATGGATCCAAGGACAAGATCTGGCTACCAACTTTCCAACAAGAAAAGGTACATAAGACAATCCTTAGTGCTTAGAAGGGGTTGGAGTCACCTCAACTCTAAGCAAACCACCAAAAAGGACCAAAAGCATAAAAATGGACCATTTGCTAGATCTAACAAACTAGAAGTAAAGGTTTTAGTTTATACTCACAATGGTCCAGATTTGAAGTGAATTTACTAGATCAACACTTGAGCCCTTCAACAAAGCACTTTGCAAGCAACTTGATCTTCTAGATCCACACCAAAATATAAGAGATAAGCCTTCAAGTGGCCAAAAATACTCAATGGGGATAGGGTTTCGAGATAGGAGGGTGGAGGTTGAAGAGAATGACCTAACTCTAAAGTTAAGGTCCTTAAATATGGAGGGAAACCCTAAAAATCATGGGCTTGGGCTGCAACAACTGTCATGCTGTAGCCATCCACTTGTCACGTTGTGGCAACCATACCTGACACGATCTCCATTAAATTTCCATGCCACGTCGTGGTTATCCATGCACCACGTCGTGGTATAGGGTTTTTCTTCATAAAACCTCATCGTTGATCCCATTAAGTCTTCAGTTGATCTATTCTGGAAAACAGGTGTTACAAATAGTACCAAATACAACATAACATAATAGTAAAAAACAACATAACCATTTACTAAGACATCATGTTCTAATAAACTACATCATATTAATGATGTTCTCTATACATTTTGACGTAATCCAATAAAATTTATTTTCTCTATGTTAACCCATGCTTGTTTCTTATTCTTCTCCTTCACATCAAGCATCATATCTTCATCTCCCCACATTAGATTTTTTTTATGACTCCTTCATTATTTTCTTTTTTCCCTTTATTAGTGTTCTTTGCCTCTATCATTAACTCATGAAGTCCCCGTTTAATGGCTGCTATAATTATGTGTGAGGAATTGCCCTATTGGGTAACGGGAAGTGGGCTACTTGCCGAAAATGCCCGCCCCTAGAGAACTCTGATTTGCTTGTTCCTGATTTTTTTTATCATATAGACGCCATAGAGAATTTGAATTTTTTATCCATTTCTTTTTTTCCCGATTTCTTCTTCTTTTATGTCCATCGCAAGCCTTCATGCACGAATGTTGAACTGTGTGTCTTCAGTTCTTCTTCTTTCAACTACACTTCGTTCTTCATTTCTTTAGACATCTTCCAAGGTAAGAAAGTATTATTAGAACCAGAAGGTTTATTAATGGAATGATCAATTTTAGACCAGTCTTTTGAAGGAGGAGAAGAAGACATTTTTCCTAGAAAAAACCCACTTTATGAATGCAAAATTTTAATAAAGTTTGTATGAAATTCTTACGATTTAATCCTCTTAATATAGAATTTTTCTATGTGTAGGTGAAATGTTAGTTGTCATGTCAATTTGAGTATGAAATATATGATGAGTTTTATACATAACAAAAATTATATTTTATGCGGAAAAATAAAACCTTAAGTTTGTATACACGCTAAAGGATCTATGTTCTCACTATGAATTGCAAACACCAATTTGAATTCAAGAAACCCTAAACTACATTGCTAT